ATGCATAGTTTAAGCTCCTTATGTTTTTGCAGGGACCAATGGTTCACTAAAATATAAGAATAAGGAATCAATCATTCAATGGTTTGCTGAAATCTTCTAAGCAACTTACAAGCAAGGAACCCACGGAAACTATATACAAGTATATACATTGATTCTGTCATAGGTTATAAGGAGCTTAACTTCATATGCAAAGGTCATATTTGAATAATGACTAATGAGGAAACGTCTGGATTTTTTTAAGTTTGGTAAGACCAGGTTTGGTTTCAATTAATTATTTTAATCAACTATTTCTGTGGTAAAAGAACAAATGGCTGGATTTTTCAGGTTTGATTCAATTTGTAAAATTTAATCATTATACATAAAAGAACAAATGGACGGATTTTTATACTTTGATATTCTTGAAAAGGCTGGACTTTTCAGGTTTGGTTTCAACAAGGTACATTTTTTCCATCCATATTTTATAATATGTGGAGTTTGGATAGAATTATGTGAAGGATGAGTTTTCTGCCCATCAAACCATTCCATAACATATTTTCTAGACTTTAGTCTTGGTTTATTAAATGGGCTATTTTTCTCAAGAATGCATCTGCAGATTTACTTTTATATGTATACTACTTTTGATAACAACACTCCTTTTTTTAAATTATTTTATATTGGTCAAATTTGTTGCTTTAACAAAATGTTGAGAGAATTTAGAAGTCTGTATGTTTCATATTTACTTAAAGATAAGTTAATAATGAAAACAATATGATGATGAACAACTCTACCTGATTTTTACGAATTCTTTAATTTTGAGCAGACTTTCATTTCACTTCTCGAAACTGTTACTATTAGAAAGTGTTGGCTGGCACTTAAGGATTACCACTTGGGCATGACAATCTGGATACAAGAAACACACATGTTTTGTTATTATGATGAGAGTGGCACATCTGTCTAATTCAGATCCGTTAATTGGGTGATCATATCATATGGATTTCCCGGCCATAGTGTTCATCCTACCTTGACTGCTGCAATGCTGCTTCAATATGTGGAACCATTATGTTGAGTTTATGATTGTTATGCTACTATTATCATGATATTATTAGGTTTCTATATGCATAATTTTTTTTTATCCACAAACATTGTTTCCCAGGAATCCAAACATTCTATTATTATGGTTATAATGATATTTAGAACATGGTGCAGCTGCCTAATTTTGGTTAGTTTATTTGGATGGTCATATCATATGCATCCTTTTTATTTATGCCAATAAAACTAAATCAAATTGTGAGGTTACAAGTCTTTCAACTGTAAACTGTCCTTTTTGAAGATACTATTATGACATTTATCAAAATGGAAAACTTCTGAGTGAGCTCATGGTTTATTTCAGATGTCACTCAGCAAGTAGTCAGGTACTTATGATGTGTGGAGAGTAAAACAGGAGGTCCCTTGGATACAAAGAAGCAACCGCCTTGATACCGATGTTAAGAACTTGGAGCCAATCATGGAGCAGTTTCTCATCCTTTGTGTAAAAGATAGCTAGCTTCAATTGGGAAGCTACCATAATCTGAAGTTTGAAGGGTAAGGGAGTACTAGGGAGACCCCATAGTGCAGATCGCCTCTTTCACTGTAAAAGCCGCAGGCGAGAACCTAAAGAGATGGGAGTCATGAGACAAATTGGAATCCGCAACTGCAATAGATCCAGATTTCCTTCCTGCGACGGGGGATGTCCTGTGTCGGCAACAGCAGCATAACGTGTCCGACAGAGAGAAAAAGAACCCGTGGACTCTTTTTGGTGGGGTTTGCATATACCCCCGAAAGTTAAGGTGTCTTTTTGGTATCTTTGCTTCGAGAGTTTGCCCATAACGGATAATATAATTTGGGGGAGAGTGACTGTTCTATTTGTATAGTGTGTGGTCAGGAGAATGAAAGTCCTTTTCATACATTCTGACAATAAGTATTATCGCATCAACTATGGAGCTTGGTGAATGAGGTTTTAAATATTAACAGGGGTGTCTTTTACGGACTAGGTGAATGAGGTTTCAAATAATAACAGTAATGACTTGCTACAAATTTATTACTCCGTATGTGTTTCTGGAATGCAAAACTCTGGAATAATAATTATGGTTCAGCTGCACGTTTAAAATTGACGCAGATTCTTTCCTTGATTCTTTCCTGGCAAAGGGCGCAGCAGCAACCTGAAGTCTAGGAACAACGACAGCAAAGCTTGAAGTCATGGATGAGACTATATGCTGGCAGATTGAAGCTTAACATTGGCGTAACAGTTAAACGTGTATCGGCACAGCAGTTAAGTGTGGATCAGGAGTCACCGGTTTCGTGTGGATGGCACGCGATCGGAGAAGTAAGTTTTGGCAGGTGCCAGGGGGTGCTATTCAAAAGCGAGGTGAATACATTTCTTCTATGGCTGAGGCTTTGGCGATTCTGATGCTTTACTAATTAATTCACGAGTGTTTAGACTGTCACACAAATCTTCTCTTTGTTTGGTAGTTCAGGATATCAAATAATTAGCGGCTAACCTAGTATTATTACTTTTCTCTCATGGAGGCAGTCAATGAATAAAAAATACTCAATTTGAAATCCTTATCCTCCGTTTTATGATGTACTCCCTCCGTCCCAATTTGTAAGATACATTACGGTTTACGATGTTTGACTGATGATAAAGCAAATTGATCCCTGACAACACTCATATTAGTTCTAGAAAATAAAATTTACATATTCATAAACTACATTAAAACCGCTACAAAACCTGCAAAAAATAATTCAAATTTCATAAACTTTTGATATATAAAATAAAAGATTAAGATTGATTTATGTTGACCAAGTGAATAGTAAATGTATCATACAATTTGGGACTGAGTGAGTACTTGATAATATGGAGTAGTTACATTTGCTTTTGTCAAAAACTACTACGTAAAATAAAGACATTTCATATAATTTCATCCAGTATTTTATTTTAATTTCATATGATTATGAAACAAAAGTTTGTTATGGTATAAATTGTACCCCCTTCATTCCTCACAAGTTTGTCAACTTTGACCAACATAAACAGTGTAGTTTTTTACTATATTTTTTCTAAAATATTATTAATAAAAAATTTAATGACAAAAATGTGTATAAGTTATTATGATGTAAAATTTGAATACGATTATAGATACTAAAAATTACTTGATCACATTTATGTCCATTATTTTTTATTTTGATTATTTATTTGGAAGTATTTATTTTTACTATACTTCCTCCGTCCCACTATTATGGTCTCATTCTGGTTTATGATGCTTGATCGATGATAAAGCAAACAGATATCTTTCCGCACTCAAATTATTTTTAGGAAAAAAATTAAGTATTCATAAACTACATTAAAATCTTTACAGTGACAAAAATCAGAATCAAATTTGATAAAAATCTGATATATAAAGAGATTAATAGTGATTTGTATTGACCAGGTGAATAGAAACTGAACAATAATAGTGGGATAGAGGTAGTACGTACTAATGTGATTTTACATTTTTATATTTTAGGGGCCTCAAACTAACATTTTAAATATGGTCACTAAAAATAATAAGACGGCCTTGGGATTTGGGAGTATTACGCCTTTGGGACTTTGGGAGTATTAAGGTCCAATAGAATGAGTTGACAATTGTGAATAGTTGAAGAAACTTTTTTCTATTAAGTAAAATATAAAGATTAGATTTTTCTATAATGCTGGTCAAAAAAAATAATGTAAAAGGAGTTTAAGTGCTTCAATCTCTTAAATATTGTTAAGAATACACTTTGACTCTTCTTAATTCTTATAACCTTTTGATATTCATTATCTTTTGTTTCTTTTGGTACATTTGTGCTTTATATTTGTTGTAAAACAATTGTACATTCGCATTATTTTACAAATAATATGATATGATTTTTTCTAATTTTTATTCCGTGCATCGCACGGGTGAGAATCTAGTAGGGATAATGTAAAAGGTGTAGTGGGTTGTGTTTAAACGAAAAAGTAGGAAAAAGAATGAAAAAGTAGGAAAGAGAATGAGAGTAAATGAGAATATTTATTGAAAAAACTTTCCAAAAATGGAAACAGGAACAAATATTAGAAAACTACCCAAAATGAAAAGAGCGACAAGCGTTAGAGAACGGAGGGAGTATTATTTTAATCAGAAATGTACAACTTTATGAATAGGGATATGAACTGTTTTAAATCATTCTCATTTCACATGGTCAAATATAACAAGGAAGTGATTAAAGTAAAATATAAATGAGTTAAAAGCAATCAAACAAAATTGAAAGAATCTGAGCCGGACTAAATGAAAAAAAATGCTTATACAGAGTAGAAATTAATTCCTTTATAAACATAAATTGTCATGAATTTGAGTCCATCATGGTCTAACATAAGTCTGCCCCGACTCTAACATATTCATTTGCACAAATAACAAATTTATTACATATTCATGGATTTCAGCTCTTTCAATTATTTCGTAAACGACTTTATTACTTCACAATCAATCAAGCATTAGAAAAATTGGATGGTAAAGTAGTGATTGCCTCACAAATGGTGAAACATTATAGTATTTGGGATTGAACCCCCATGAAATAAAATTAGAAACCCGCCATGACAATTCAACAATACTCAATTGATGCAAATTAAAGTTCAGTATCCAATTTGATATATGTAGTGTAGGTAATTGTGACCGGCCATGCGATTTTACTTTATTTAGTCAGCGAAGCCAAAATCAGTGAAGAAGATAAATTAAAATCAAAACAGGTAGCACCATAAGTATGGAATGATTCACAAGTTGATCATATGTTACCTCCGTTGTGCAATATTGTAAAATTTACACTATTTACATGTTCTACTTTGACTATATTTTATTTATTCATTTATTAATATATTTTTTTGAAAAAAATATTACTAAATTTGTCTCATTGTAAATTTTTAAAATCAGATTTTTTAAATATTTTTACTAATACAAAGTTATATATATTAATGATCAAAGTTGTGGCTCGACAAATGTGAAAAGTTGATTGTTGTACTTATTTAAGAATTTAAGAATGGAGGTAGTATACATAACCACTTGCATCCACTTGCATGTATTATGTATATCATATATTTCATTGTTACATGAAATTAAACATACTCCGTAGCAACTAAATTACAAACACATAATAAACTTATAAACAAACTATGTCTTGAAGTGGAATTTGGAGGACATATAGTTTGGCATTATGTACAAATCAACGAAAATATCTATATATTTTCACATTAAGGATCCAAACTCGGAACAATAATGTTACTCGTGATATTTTGTGAGTCTTAGATTGACTAAGTCATCTTTGATTAACAACCTCCCATATGCTATATGGAATCAGGCTGTGGTCATGACTTGAGTCTCCAAATTCAACCTTTAAAAATTGGGCGAAAAAAAAAAGAAATGGAAAACCTTAACAAAGGTCGCCAGCTCAGCTGTGATGGTACTCGGTCATCATTCGGGTATATCAAAAGCTTTTCCGGTGATGATGGTTTCCCGACGGCGACCGTAAAACACTCGTCGGAGAAGAAGGCGAGCCAATTTCACTATTTTCCGACCGACCTCCCCTTCCAACAACAACATTCTTTTCACTCAATCCTCTCGCATATTCCTTCCTTTTCCTCCTCCCCACCGTCTCCGGCCGCTTTTCTTTGATGGCCGGGATCGCATACCACCCGACAGACGTACACAAAATCGCAAACGTCCGGCCGTAAACCGCCAGAAAAACAAGAATCAATATTATGGTCAACGGCATATAAAACCTCGGGTTCTTCCAGTCTTCCAAAGTCATCTTCTTCCAAGACACAGTCTTTGTGAACTTTCTCTTTGAGCAGCACCCAGTTTCTTTGACCTTCTCAACATCTTTAATAACCTCATCTTCATTGTTAATGCTTTCGCCCGATCTTCTCGCGGGCGTGTTTTCTTTCTTCGTGTTCCCGCCCTTCAGCTTGACGACGATGGGCTTGACATGGTTCGAGTTCGACGAGAAGACGAATCGGACGATGGAGATTTCATCGGCACCAACCTGCGTGTAGATCTTCTGTTTCTTGTCTTGGATTTCAGCTAAGAGAGCAGAGAACTTGTCAAGGCCGCGATTGGCATATGGGTTGTTGTTCTTACCATTGCTGTTTCCTTTCTTTGATCTCTTAGGGCTTAAACAGTCCATTTCATCCTCTAGATCTTCATGGGCTTGAGAGCTTCCACAAATGAATAATGGATTGAACATATGTGACATTTAATTTGCTTCTCAATCAATAAAAAGATGGAAATTAAGAGTTGTGATATTTTGGTGTAGTGTGTGTGTGAAACTTGTTTGAGATTGGAACAAAGAGATGTGATGGAAGAAAAGGGTGCAGTGGTTATATATAATTAGTCTTATGATTAGGAAATGGAGGGATTGATTGATGATTTATAAAGACTAGTCTACAAGACTTGATCCAATTCAAGTTGGTGGTGGAATAGTCAATTCTGAAAATGAAGATCTTGGAAAAAGAGGAAATAGAGGATCAAATATCAACAATAATTATGCATAGGAAGGTTCTATGGTTTTGCGTTGACTTTCTCGTCTATGTATGCATTTGGATATCACCTAGAGCATTGAAATGGCTTGGGGAAGGGGTTTGAATATTGAATTGGCCAATCATGCACGCTCATATTAATTTATATATATTTTAACTTGGCTCTTTTCGAAAACCAAGAATAGTTCAAGAGAAATTTATGACTTGACACGGTTATTAATAAATTGATTGAAAAAGTAAAAATTGTGGTTGAGATTTGAGTATAATAAAATGAAATAATGTAGGCCAACTATTTCTTTCCAAAAAAGGAAAGTAGACACTTATTTTGGGACAACCCAAAAAAAAAGTAGGACAAGTAAAATGGGACGGAGGGAGTACTACTTAGTTATTTTTCACATAATAATATGGAAAATGATGTTTGTACCCACTTTTATACCCACTTTTGTACCCACCCATGTTTGTGAAGTTATTTTTTTTTGTCTGTGAATTCGTTCACAAACAAAATATGTCTGTGAAGGAATTCAAAGACATATTTTGTCTGTGAACCGGCTTCACAGACAAAAAAATAGCCTTCACAGAGGTGGGTATAAAGTGAGTACAAAGTGGTGGGTACAACAAACATAGTTCTTTAGTTCTAATAATATATACGGAGTACTTGGTAATATTCAAAGAACATACTCCTTCGGACCTTAATAATTTTACCAAGTTCGATTGACATGTGATTCAATCATAGGAATAGCCAAAAACAAATGTAGTCATATTAAGGAAAAGTGTCTATGTTTTACTTATATATGTGGAACTTTCCAAGGGCATGTTCATATGAATTTCCTCAAAGTGCCTATGTTAAAAAAAATACATATATAGGTCAAATATATTTGAATTGATTTCTTTTGCATTTCTCAAGTGTAAACTAAACGTATAACTGTCTAAACATACCTTTTTTGAGCAATTCTTGGTGTATATAAAAAATTTATACTTTTATATAGTCGTTTGTATACCTAGATAACGGACTTTAATTTCTTAAATGAGTTGAGTATGTTCACAAACAAAATAGGAGGGGTACACCTAATTTTTTTCACCCTGTTTACGCAAATTTCACTTTTCCGTTGGAAATTTGGGTCAATGGGAAATGACATGATGCGGATTACTTTTCTTTGCCAATGTGTGGGTGCCATTGCCTCATTGATTACGAAATAAGTAAACTTTATGTCCAAATTCCATATATTTTTCTTTTGCAAGTAACTACAATGTTGAGTCATGCATTAAATCATCGTAAGAAATTTGATCAAAGAGTATCCATATTCCATGGTAAAGTATGACTTAATTGGTCCTAAGAGAATAAAACTATTTTAGTATTTAATAAGTCTTATTTTAAGAGTGAATACATAAGATTGACTCAATTAGTCCTAAAAGGAATAAAAATAGTAATACTTCTGATTTTAAGAGTGACTATATATGTTTTATTTTCAGGAAAACATAATGATGTATAGGGAAATGTTTTATTTAGGGATATTTATCCAAATAGGACTAAATCTATCTTTAATTGTCAAAACAGGACTAGAGTTTTAAAATCCCCTAAATAGAAGTTATTATTTACAATGAGACAAAACACCCTTGTGAAGCCTGGAAATAATAATGCCACGTCCAGAATGCTGGACCGCCCCCTATCGACGGTCTCCGCCAGTCGCCGCCGGCCGCCGTAAATCGCCGCCGCAAAAAAATTGGTTGCCGCTGCATATCCAACCACCGCCGTTGCAGATCTGACCATCCCCGCTTCAGATCTGTCTGGAACAGCAGGAGATCTAACCAAATCTGTCCTCCGCCGTCTGTCGGCCACTGCCCTTGCAGGTCTGGCCACCATCGCAGCAAATCCGACATAGCCGCTGCAAATATGTACTCCACCATTCTAGATCTGGTCGTTGTCAGCGCAAATGCCAATATTTATATCAAAATGCCAAAAAAAATCGAGAATGCCAACTTAATGGCATTTTCAAAGAGTAAAACATTTTTTTGAAGAATAAGAATGCCACTTTGATGGCATTTTCAGAGTTCGATCTAGCATTTTTTTTCAATTAGCATTTGTAACTTAATAGAAGGGGGAAGATAGCAGTAGAGAAGAAGGGATGAAGGACAGGCAAAAAATCCGAGAAAGAGTAGACCTGCGGAGAAGAAAAGCCAATTTACGGCGGCGAGCTACGGCAGCGAACTTTCCGACGACGGCGGAGAAGAGTATTATTGTTCTTCTAGGTTTTGATGCTCCTGTATGAGGGAGAACAGAAGAGGAATTGCGGCAGATAGAAAAGATGCGCACGGAAGATGAATAATTAGATGCGCAGAGGAAGGGGAGAAAGAAGTGACCGTGTGCGCAGGGAAAAAGAAACAAAATAGGCGTAAATGAGGAATCTAGTCCCATTTAGGGAATAAAATATACATACTCCTATTTAAGAATTTCAGGAACAATTTAATCTTATTTGGAGCAAAAAACTCTTTTATTTATTATTCTTTATACAAATATATTTCCCAAAGTCAATATATAATCAATGACCGGCTGACCGCACACAATTTTCAAGAAAGTCGCAAGAAGTTGATTTATAGGCCGGATTCACTTTGTTTAAGTTGATTCTCACTTCTTAGATCCAACGAGTCGCACTATACAAAAAATACTCACTCAATTCCTAATTAATTGTCCCAATATGTAATTTACGTAATTTAAAAGAACGAGGATGAATTCAAAAAAAGAATGAATTTTTAATGCGGAGTATATGTATATATATATAGTGTAGGCTTGTAGCTTAGTGGTAATACTCGCTCTATACTGCACACTTTCACTTATATACTACGTATATTGCAACCGTTTTTAATATGAGAAAATTGCTATTAGTGGGATCAAATGAAAGGAACTTTACAAAAGTAGGATTGGACTATGTTTTTTCCATGCGTAGGATCTATTTAGCACCGTTTAAGAAAATTTTATTCTTGCCTTCAATTTTTACCCTTCCCTTTATATATATTAGTATATTTAAAATAAAAATTAACCTCCCCGACTCCTCTATCTATCCAGTGTCATCGCATCTTAATTTTAGCGTTCATATCAGCGATGACTCCAGCGCTGGGATCTCGTGACTTGTCCATCCCTGTAATTTCAAGAACTTTTAAACCCTTAGCCTTATACCTATGGTGCTGCGCGCGAACACGGAATCAGAATATTTATTCGATATTGTGGCTTCTGTAATCGGATGCTGTGACAACGCATGTCGCCTCACTACAGCGTTTCTCGAAGGCCTCTCGAGGTAATTTCATAATTGGACATAGTGAATTGTAGATATATTGATTTATGTTACTTGCTCTGCTACTATGCTATTATCAATACTTAATGTATATTTATTGGCTACCTAGTGTCTATGTTACTGTTTATTGCTTTGCATTTTTGATTTTGTCATACATGCTCTCTTGATGTCAAACAAGGTCTCCAACCATCAAGCCACAATAGGTAGTTGTTGATATCATCAAACACCGATATGCAAATGCATATAGAGAAATGTATGCTCCAAATGACATTTTTGTTCTCTTATTATTTTCATACTCTACATTCACTTTTGTATTTACAAGGCTTAAAGAATAAGTCATTCATAGCCGATGTTGTTGTCAATAAGTTGTACTATCATAGAATCTATTGATCTTTACATATGTTATTTTTGTATTTGATGTTGTTGTTTACATTCAATTTCCAAAGCTCAATGGTTTCTCTAAATATTTATTGTCTCCACATTATCTATTTATTGACTCATGTTAAAATTAATGTTTCGCTTGAATATAATATATTTCAGATATTAACGCTTTTTTTCAATTCAGTGCGTGGAATATTCTTTCTCTTCACCATTTCGAATTCAGTCATTTGACCATCTAAATGGATTTCTTCCTATTTCAACATTCCTATTTCATAGCGAGGAATATTCCAGTAAAAGGGCAGAAGATCAAAACGAGTAATAGGTTGAACCAAGTATTAAGTCTACTAAAAAGAAGATAACAAAAAGTAGGGCGACACTTACCAGTGTTGCTCTGTTCTCAATTAACGAGACTCTACTAGAGCTAGTAAGCTTCGTAGCCATTATCAGGGTGTTTGGAATTGATTATGTTTCTGCTTCTTTTTTAAAGTAGAAGTAGAATCAGAATCAGAATCAGCTTTCAGAAGCTGGTACCTTCAGCTTTTAAAAAAACTGATTCTGGGAGTAAATTAGAGCATCAGAAGTGCTTCTGGAATTTCACCCAAACACTCCAGTTTCCGCTTCTGCTCTCTGAAGGAGCAGAATCAGTTTTGAGAATCAAATCCAAACACCCCTCAATTGCCTGATCTGCCAATATAATGTATCGGTATAGATCCAACCAATTCAAAGAAATATGTTTTGGTAGTCGCCTACTTGTGTTCTCTTTAAATTTTGCAAGAGGCTTACGACTATGCAGTTTGAGAGGAAATACGATCGAAATGGAACAGTGTTCACCTATGTAATTAAAATTAAGGTAATATGGTCAAAGCAAGTGTAATTCAGTCCTACGCTAATCCTTAGTCCTAATTTTGGAAAGTTAATATGTTTTGATCCTATTTGTAAAATTTTCCCTTTTAATATATTCTTCTCCATAAATGGGATGGAAATAATTTGGCATGACTTTGAAAAAGAAAATGAGAAATTAAACTTATTAGAAAAGGAGTAATAAACTGAGTAGCACGGAAACGGGAAACGGGAAACGGGAAACGCGAGAAACGTAATTTCTAAAAAATAGAGGACACGAAACGTGGGGGAAACGCGTAAATATTATAAAATATAAGGATATATTTATAAATATTTTTAATATATGTACACAAGTTTTTCCATATGCAAATGTTTTTTTATATAATTTGTTTAGTAACCAAATAATAAAATCACTCTACATGTTCGAATTTAGATATTATTTCATATTAGTACATAATTAAACATAAAATGTACAGAGTAATACATTTCTAGCAATACATTGCGTTACGAAATGTAACAAGTGTTGCCGCTGAGAAATACAGAGTACCACAAAAATTCACTATAAAAAATTATTTTCCACCACAAAATCTTTTGAAAAAGAAAAAAAATTGGAATCCAAGGTTTCCGAAATGTAGGGAAACGAGTTTCCAAATTTTTCTTAATTACGGAAACGGCCCCGAAACGGGAATTTGAAGTTTTCGAGTTTCCGAAACGCTTCCGAGTTTCCGAAACTTAGAAACGTGAGCCATGGAGAGTTTCCGTGCTCCCTAGGTAATAAATGCTCAATCTCTTCTTATTAAGATCTTGTGTCCTAAACACGCATATTAAAATAACTATCTAGAGATTTTTTTAGTTAAGATGTTTTTAATTGGATCAGACCAGACTAAACATGATAGTTAGGCTAGAAAAGATGAGAAATGAACAGTTATATACTCTGTAAAACACATAAACCATGCATCTACCATACTAGATCAAATTAGAAAGTACAATCCGATTAAAATCATTCTAAGTCAGACTTCATCCCATATTAGAAAATGTATCATCGTGTCCATCCGAAGTTACTAACATTATTTAATCCCTAGGCCAATTCAGCATACTGCAACTTTCTCATGTCCATATATACTTTCTCTATTGCTTTTAGTTGCCCCTCTCCCATTTTCATTGTTACTAACGCATTTCTTTGATTGTCAATATTTTTAGTTCTTCATTAAGAAAAAATTGAAAATTAGATTTTGAAATTTGGTAATGAGACAAATTGATAAATCTCATACATTAATAAATAACATGTAGTAAAAAAATGAGCATGTGAATAATGTGAAATTCAATATATCTCATTTAACTTAGTATATTTAGAGTGTGTTTGGTGGCTCCTGTAAAAATAGCTAAAATGATCATCCACAGTAACTTCAGCCAATACAGTCGGAAAAGTAGCCTCAATCATACTTTTTCTGTATTACACAATTCAGCGCGAGAAAGCAAAAATTACGTGTTTAGTGAAAAAGCTGGTTGATAAGCCGAAAAACTGTGTTGCCAAACGACCTCTAGGTTTTTTGGAGCTCTAGGTTCTCTCTATTTTTTATATTTTTTTTTTTAATTTTTGTCCAAGATGACGTTGTTGGACTTCAAGCTCTAGGTTTTCATGATGATTTAATAAAGTGATGTGTGCTTGTATTTGGGATGTCATCGGTTCAAATTAAACATTAAAGGTTGAGTAATTTAAGTTAAAGATGAGTAAAGTATAAAATGTAAGTCAAAGATGAGTAATGCATAAAATTTAATGAAGGTTGAGTGTTTGACCATAAACGGCAAATGTTAACGGAAGGTAACAAAAGGATTGGATTAAAATGTATTAAATAGATTAAGGACTAGAATGATAGATTTATTAGTTGAAGGACCAAAACGATATGATGATGATAGTTGAAGGACCATTTATGCATTTTACTCTATTTATTATTTCAAAATATATAACTAAGGTTGAAATTACTTTTCTGATTGAATTGGCTGAAATTATTGTAGATGGTTACTTTATATTTTTTTTATATGATTTTTTCTTTATTTTATTAATAAAAAATATTTTAAATAATTTTTTTCATAATTCAACATATTAAGCAAATTTAACCACTCACCTATAAATTTATCAATTTCAGCACATTAACCAATTTAGCCACGTGGACAGATGGAGAGAACACCGACACTTAAAAAAGAAAGTTAAGTAGTACTCCATGTGTGAATAAGTGGTCCACAAATGTGATAGAAAACGTGTACACAAAAGCAAAATGTGAAATGTTTTTAATTTGGGAAAACCTTGTAAATTGATCGATTAATTATATTTTTTTTGGATGAACTCTAAGTATATATAAAAGGTACTATCCAAAGAGTTTGTCGGTACATCAAAAAGGTGAGCAAAAATGTAGACTATCCAAAGGTTGGATAACCCATCACCTGCAAAAATAAGGTGCTAGAAAAGCAGCCTAAGCTACATCACAGCCAATCACATGAAAAATAGGCGATTGGCAGAAAGTTTATCAAAATACAACCAAATCGATCATATGGATAGATGCTATACAAAACTTTGTACACAATGTACTTTATCCTAGCAAAAACGTCATCTTCCTTTGGAGTCACTCCATCAAATGTAGCCGCATTTCTCACTCTCCAAATCCAATAGATAGAAAAGTAAAGTGCAATCCGAGATGCTTTGGCTTGTACATTTGCCCCACTTCTTTCTTTCTTGATCCATTTAACTGAGCTAGCAAGGGTCCCCATGAGCCGTGGCATGCCCAACCATTCGTTCACCATCTTCCACACTTTTCCTGAAAAAGGACATTCAAAATATAGGTATGGAATCGTTTCCGGTCCACCCTTGCACAACACACAAGCGTTAGCTATATCCAATCTATGAAGATTATCATATGTAGCCAACCTATTTCGAAATGCCAACCAAGCAATAAAGGAAAACTTGGGAGGGATATAGTCTTTTCATATAAAGCACAGCCACTTACGGGTGGGGGACCTAATCCGAAGCAGGTTGTAAACTTTAGAGGATACAAGTTTGCCATTGACTTGGAAAGCATTAAGGCCAATTGTAGCACTCGGGATATCATGAAATTTGAAGAGTATTTCATCTCGGAGAAGTACAATTTTCTTCATCAATTGTGAGTCCTTAGTTATATATTTTGGGTAAATGTCATAATCTGTGCAGGAAATATCTTCCTTAATCCGCATAGAATTAACAATAATGAGGTAATATTTCCGTATTGATATAATCTTGCATGGATTATAGTGGGTAAATGTCGCAATCTACGCATGAAAAAACCTCCGTTATCATATTATTCGAATGTGGTAATACCAATTTCTAATCTTCTATAGCATTAAAATGGCTTGGCCTGGGGAAGGAATTTGATTGCTGAATTGGCCAATAGTCCACCACGGCTTATTTACACACAGTGACACACCCATATGTATATATACTTGAAAAAAATTAGGTGTGTACAAAAAGTGTGCGATAACTATTTGCCTCTATATATAGACAATTCATTTAGAAGATCAAGTCATCAATCGTGTTTGTTTATAATGTATAAAAAGTGCACCAAGAATGACTCTGTATACTTTAATTTCTTGGGTTACATACTTACATTACAAGATATTTTTAAGGCCGCATCTCCATATAGATATAAGAAAATGAAAAGATAAATTTAAACTAATAATATATTGCAGTAATATACTTGCATTGTACTCCGGTATGGCGGTATAATACAAGTATAATGCAAATACACTTGCATTGTACTAAATATTCAAATATTTGATTTGATTTTGAGACCCAATCGGGTGTGTCGGTCTACCCAATCGGGTATGAGACCAAATCTTCAAATATTTTTAGCTCACAATCCTTTGTTTCTCGGATTTGATTTTGACATGTAAATCGAGTCAATACCCGATCGGGTATTGCATATACCCGACTGGGTATATGAACTATTTTCCAAATAATCTTCTTTTGATCTTGTTCCTTTGCATATCTTTTGGTCTTTGAGATCCATTTTTTGATCCTTTGAGTGCATTTAACATGTCTTATGCTCAAAATACTTCTAATCTAAATAATTTACACAAATTTAAACAAACTAAAACATTACACCAAAAGTGTGTAATTTCTAAACTAACGAATCACAAAAGAAATTAAAAGCGTACAAATACAATCGAAAATTACACGAATATCAACAATAATTGGGAAATGAATTCTAATGTTGACCAACTATAGAACATCATGTTAAGAAATCAATAAAATAATTCTAATCTGGTCTGATCTGAATGTTTTTATCTGATCTAATATGAATCTTTACATGACTAAATAAAATAAAAAAAAAGTAATAAGTAATAAGAATCAGACGAACAAAACAACTTCTGAGTAGTTCTTCTTTACATGACTTTCGATTGCTATTGAATGTTAGATCATCTCCAATGCTAGAATGTGCACGATGCGCATGTGACATGAAAGATAGTCACATAAATATGATTAAATAAATTATTTATTTCCTTATTTGAATCCTTTTATTCTATTTTGGTATGTTTTTCATAACTATGTCAATCGCAATGTCTACATCTAGACAGTCTTCTTGACATTGAAGAGAAAAACTTACCAAAATTGTATAAAACTACTCAAAAAAGGAGAGAGATAATTTATTTACTAATATTTATGTGGTTGTTTCCAATGCCACATGTGCACCGTGCACATTATAGCATTGGAGATGCTCTTAGAGATATTTTATGTTGTGATCAATGTTTATTATTATAGGCCGCTTGTATTTAATATAGAATAGAATAGCCTTAAATAACTAAAAGTATGCCAAAGGGAATATATGGGCCTCTTGATTTAAGGACCCAATCATTGTGAAATACCCATTAACTAGGCTATAAATATGCCATAGTTAAGCCTTTCCCTGAATATTCCACACCTGTGCAGAACCTAGAGCTAGAGAAGTTTTACGCTAAATATTTTTTTCAACGTTGTGTAAACTTCATCTCTATCAATGGAAGGCTTACCCTATATCTTTTAGAGATCCATCTTCATATATTTATAGTAGAAACATGGACCCAACATTTGGTATCATAGCCGAGGCACGAAACAGGTTGAAACTTCTGCGATGATTTTTGAACCGCCATTGACGAAGCAGACTTGCGAAGAAGAAGACCAACGGAAAGTAGTTTAGTGCATGACATCTGTGCGCGAACTAAGGGATGGAGCAGATGCGCAAACTAAGGGAGTGCACTTCTGCTGATGTGCAAACTAACTTTATCTGATGCGCAAATTTTGTTGCACTAAAAGGGATGGAGCAGATGCGCTAACCATTGATGTGCGAACTGCTGGAGTAGATGCGCTATATAACTGCCAGGTGGATACGCGAGGCGAATAGGTTCATGCGCAAAGTGGTCTATGAGCAAATAGGCCCTCGTGCGCGAACAAAACTCATGCGCGAAGTGGATTCGCTAACCTTTAAAGAAACTCAATGATCATATCTTGTGATAAAGTTAGATCCGTAAAAGACATTAGAACGTCTATATGCGCAAGTTTGTCATTTTCTTTTCTTGGTTCAATTCATTTGAATACCTACACATACAGACAACAATACAACAAGTAACATAGTTTATCACAAGTCATGAGACACTTAATGTTGCTATTATATGATAGCGAAGAAGAACTAATTAATAGGCACCTTCACATACTAAGGGAGGCGGTCAAGCGGCAAAGAAACCATAACAATATATATAAATGGAGAGAAACCACATGTCCACATTTGTAAAGTGGTCGGGCAAATCAATTAAGGTAGAATACATCCAAAAATTCATTCTTAAATTCATTCTTAGGATGACATATATGATGCGACAGATTGGCAACAGAATGAAAAGCCTGCTGGAAATCAAAGAAGTTACCAGGAGAAAATAAATTGATCCTCGTCTTGTCGCACGAGGAAGCAGGGAGGAAAGGGGGCGCGGCGAAGGAGAAGAGAGATGTCGTGGGATCCGATTAAGGAGTCGACATTATTTTCTTTAGTAGCTAGAGAGAGCGGTGCTGATAACGTGAGATAAATCTCAATAATGATGTATCCTTTTCACATATGGGATATATATACATGGGGGAATGGGGGTATATGGTAATGGGCTAAGCCCTAACATCATATATGGGCTAGAGTGTAATGAACATCCACACACTCCATAACACAAATTGTGACGTGGATGTCATGATTTAAGTGTCTAGTTGGAGATGTAGGAACAACATGGATGACACGTAATCACTTTGGTCGAAAACCGTGTACAAATTGGTTAAATTATCATTCTGAACGTTTTTTATAAGTAGTTGAACTCAATTGAATGATTATTTAGTACGAGAACTTAATTGACTTTTTGAGTATAGTCTAAATTTGTCAATTTTCTCTAAATATTGCGTAGTATGTGACAAAGGTCCTCTACCGGCCAAGTTCATCTTAGAAGAAAAATTCTACATCTTCTTACAAAGTTTCCACCCATTGTTCCAACTTCTAACCAATCAGACTTAATTGAATTAGTTCCGGCCATATTAGGTAAAACCATATGTGCATGAGATTAGATTCCAACACTGGTAAAATACACATTAGTTTTAAAAAAGCTAAATATTATACCTTTGTGTCACTAACATTGAGACATGAGGTGATGATGTTATTAATAAAAATGGGTTTATATGGCTGATATTGATATGGAGAAGAGTTCCTTTGTTATACAGATAACTTTAGTAGCTCACATTACATGCATACACCGTATATGTGATACAAATTCGTATGACTTGAATAGCTCATATAAATTTGCCGATAATACCTGGAATATTGTAGGTGTGGGACGTAAAAGTCTACCACTACCTAATAGGCTAATATACTCCGTAACTTATTCATGAAAATCGGGAATGATGAATGCATTGAAAATGGTGACCAAGATGACTCTTGATTTATTGAAAATTACATGGATGAGCATGCAACTATTTCATATTTATTCGTGGCCTCGTAATTTATATACTTTCTATTGGTATGTAATTTTGAAAAACAAGAAAGTAAGTGAGTAAAAAAGAGTGCACATTTATACCTTGTTTACGAAAAATCATTTTTTTTATTTTCCGTCAAATACTAGCTAGATAACTAGGTTTATCTATGACTTTTGAGTAAATCAACAAATTCAGAATTGTTCAATTAAAAATTAGCTTCGGTGAAAGACATTTTTAATTGTATAAGAAAAACTTTTGAAACATGACTTCATCAGAAAATAAAAATGTTTTTTAAATAAAATATAACATGGGTTTGCGACAAATGAAATACGTAGTACTCGTATTATTTAACAAGGTGTAGATGTATAAAATGATTGGTTATTGTCTTTTTTGTGTATGAATCTAATTTCTAAATTAAGATTAGAGTTAATGTTTTTTTTACTCCAGGGGCGTCTGGGGGAGGAGGGCTGGGGGAGCCTGGAGTAGTTGGGGCCGAAACTCACTCCATTGAGTTTCGAACCCGAGACCTCCCGAGAGTAAGTCGGCGACCAACTGGGCTGTAAATAATTACAATTAATGATTTATAATAAGAGCTTTTTGCGAGAAGATTGCTCAAAAACATTATGAACAAAAATTGACTACAATCACTATGTGCATATTTTTATGGTCATTTTTTTTGTATAATTGAACATAATCATATTCAATTCGCTAGAAGTTACTCATATATAAGTTATTCATATAGTCACTTCATATGTAAGGTCTTATTTTTTCTGTTAATCTTATTTTGATAATATATATATATATATATATATATATATATATATATATATATATATATATATATATATATATATATATATATATATATATATATATATATATATATATATATAAGGCCTTTTGGCCTGGATATTACTAAAAATAGGATAAAAGACAAAAATGTTAAACATTTTTAAAAAATCCAAAAATGTGACCAACAACAAATTAGCTCCTGCAATCCAAAGTGACTCCGGCCAAGTGACTGTCCAATGGCCATAGTGAATGCCCCACCGCCACAGTGACTGACCCACCGCCACAGTGACTGCCCCACCGGCCCCAGTGACTGCCCCGCTGCCACAGTGACTGCCCCACCGCCATAGTGACTGCTCCGCCGCCACAGTGACTGCCTATCCACAGTGACACTCTGTCTCGGTCATAGTGACTGCGGCAGAAGTTACTCCGAGCACAATGGCTGCCCACCGGTCGACACACCAACTCCATTCATAGTGACACGCCGTCTCCGGTGTCCCTGCCCTATCGCCGCCCTTACCACATCCACGGACTACCGTGGACTACCGTCACACAACCACCACCTCAAACCCATTCATGTCCCCAGCCCCTCCCTCCTTAGCCCCCGGCCACCTCCCCTCCAGTCCCCCTACCAGCTCCCCTCTGGTCCCCTACCACCTCCCAGCCCAGATCTAGCCCAAACTGCATCCAAACGGCCATATCTAGCCCTAACCAGCCCCTTTACAATCGTTGCACCATATCGACACTCAGTACAGCAGGAAAGAAAGGAAAAGAAGAAGATTAGAGAATCTACGATGGCGGATGCAGAGGCGGCGCGGCGTGGAGGAAGATGGTGACGGCGAGGCAGAGCAAAGCGCGAGGACGGTGCTAGATCTAGAGAAGGTCAACACCACCAACAGAGAGAAGAAATAGAAGAAGTTCGTAGCTAGGGCGAGCACGAGGGCGGCGACGAAGGCGGCGAAAACCAGTGCGAGATCGGTGGCGACGTTTCGTTCCTCTGTCCGCGGAGGGCGACGGCAACGACGAGGAAGGTAGCGGAGGAAGCGCCGAACCTCGTGCTCCGTCTCTGCAATCTGCAGCGGCGATCTTCAGCGGCAATCTACTCCTTGGTTTTTGAACGCAGCAATGAAGAAGAACGGAAGAGACGGTCTAGCTTGGAGCGTAAAAAATCGGAAAAGGAGATTAGCATTTAAAGACGCAGTTTTTAGTCCAAACTCAATTTAGTCATATTCTTGTTAATAAAAAGCTGATTAACATCGCGACTGCTTTCACCGACGAATTGATAAGAACAGAAAAATAAAATCAACGGTATGAACCGTTGCCCGATAATCAACGATAAATAAATACCGTTGCCCAAAGCCAAAAGGCTAAACCAACTTTTATTCCCAGATCCTCAAGAATGAAGCATACAAGGGGTATAAATAACCCTCTAGGTCTAATAAGAATAGGAATCCTAAGTAAATTAATCTAGGAAACTAAATAGAATAGGAAACCTCTAATTCTAATAAGAATAGAAGTCCTAAATAAATCCTATTAGGAAACAAATTAAATTAGGAAACAAAATAAAAGGAATAATAAATATTAATTAAACAGCCCGCAACCAGCCCACGAAGGTGGGCTCAAGCCCGTTCCCGCCACATGCTCTTCCCGCTTCATATCAATCCACCCCCCTTAAAATAACCTTGTCCTCAAGGTTGAAAACTCGCTGATTGGGAGCTGAAATTTCCAGACATAGTATAGACTGGAAAATATCCTTCTTCTCCTTCATGAACCCTTTCATGGCCGGTTATTACGCAGAATTCATGCTGCTTGAGGTCCAACTCTTCATCCTCCTCAGCTATCATTACCCGCAGCTGTTTAAAGGGACAATCATGCCCTGGCGTGAATGGTTTCTTGCACCTAAAGCATAATCCTTTTGCCCTCAAATCTGCTAACTCTTTTGGCGCAAGACGGGTGAACTGGGATCGTGTCGTAGGCTGCCCAGACAGCCCTAACTTTGTCCCCGGAGGCTGTCCACTATCCTTCTCAAAGCTGCCCCCTGAGCCCTGTAAGCTGCCACCGGTGGCAGTCAACGGGGGACCCGTGTTTGCCCTTACAAAACTGCTGGAACGTACCCCCAAAGAATGATAATTCAGGCTGCCACTTTCTCCACTTTGGACGGACAGATTATACTCCACTCCGCGAGCTAATTCCATAGCCATCTCCAGGTTGTTTGGTCGAAGTAATCGCAGCGAGCTTCGGATTATCTCCTTAAGCCCACTCATGTAATAGCCCAAGTAATGATCGTCAGTTAATCTGGGTACTTGACTGGCGAGTTGTACAAACAAAGTATTGTAATCTTCCACTTGCCCAATTTGTTTAACGCCAGATAGCCGCTCAAATCTGTTTCCTTGATATCGGGAATCAAATCTAGCCACCAAGGCTTGCTTAAATTCCTCCCAGGATATGCCGGGTTTGCGCGCCTTTAACCATGTCACCCAATAGAGGGCTGCCCCTTCCATAGAAACCCTAGCCGCTGCAATTTGTCTATCCGGTGGGGTCCTGTTGAGCTCGAACTGCTGCTCCACTCTTGCCAGCCACCCAATTGGGTCTTCACCGTCGAATGAGGGAAGCAGTATCGTGGATGCGCTGTGCGGTCCGCCCTCGTCGGTGAAAGCAGTCGCAATGTGGGCGGAGGAGCCGCTCTCGATGGTCGTGCTTGGAGAAAGAACAGAAAACTGATTTCTAAATATAAATAGATATGTGTGTGTGTCATTATTTGTTATAATAGTTTGCATATGGAATAATGGAAACATAAACTGAAACAATAAGAGAGTTTTGTTCTATACTAAAGTTGTGGATACACAATAATTAGGAAGTTAATTCTAATGTTGACCAACTATAGAACATCATGTTAAGAAATCAATGAAATAATTCTAATTTGGTCTGATTTGAATTTTTTATCTGTTCTAATATGAATCTTGTTGATCTGATCTGAATCCTTTTGATATGACCTGAATTTTTCAGACCTAATCTCATCTAAATAAAATAAAAAATAATACTACCTCCGTCCCACTAAGATTGGGACGAGAGAAGGTGGTACGATTATTAAGAAAAGTGAGTTTGCGTGGTTGATATTAAATTAATAAAGTAAGAATAAAGTAAGAATGGATTAGAGCCACACAATCTTTACCAAATTTGGTATGAGACAATCTTAGTAGGACTTCCCGAAAAGGTAAAATAGGACAATCTTAGCGGGACGGAGGGAGTAATAAGTAATAAGAATCAGACGAACAAAACAGCTGAATTATTGTTCTTCTTTACATGACTTTCGATTGCTATTGAATGTGAGAGATATTTTATGTTAGTGATCAATTTTTAGAATAAACGACTGGAATAGGACTTCTACGGTACCTAAAGTCATTTTTATAAAAGGGTAGTTTAGTCTTTTTGTTTCACGTAAGGTCTTATTTTTGTCCAAAATAAGACC